TCAAGAAAGAGTGTCAGTGGCAAGCGGGAGTGTAAAGTAAGAGTGTCCAGCAAAAGTGTGAAGCAAAAGTGCGTCAGGTGCTGCGGCTGGGGAGGTGCTGGCGCTGCTTTAGTTGATGACTCTGCGAGTCATCTCCGAAAACAAGAACGCCTTGACTGCTACGCTTCTATACAAAGTGACTGCATTCGGGTTCGTGGGTTCTATCAGGTTTTTTTTATATGGAGACGAATTATTGATGCTTTGTTGATTTCAATTGGTGGATTCCTTCTTTTTCAACAAAAGAGGGCAATGAGCAGCTTTGCTGTTTGCGTTACATGTTGGGCCGATGAATGTTTTGAGGTTAACCAGTTGCACATGAACCGAGAACACTTTTCAATATTGGATCGTCATGTTTCCAACCTGCTTCCGATAGAGTCCATGTCGCTTGAAGAAGGCATCCTTGGACCTAAGCTGAGTTGCGAGCCAAGATCCACATCACAGGGCTCCAACTGGCTCAAACATGCAAGAACATGGGATTTGTGATTATCCACGTGCACTGTCGTTCATGTTTGGGAGGTGAACTGCTGGAAAGGCCACGAATATTTTGCATTTGCATATTCCAGCCCAGCGCGTTCCAAAAAACAAGGTGATCCGCCAGCGAAGCAGCCGCCCAACTTCCGAGCAGCACTCCCCTTGTTTGATTATCAGCTCCGGAGCTTGGGGTGGATGTTGGCAAGGGAGAAAGCTGGAGGAATTCGAGGAGGGATTTTGGCCGATGGCATTGGATATGGAGCCCAGTCTGAAGCACAGGGACAGACCATTTTGGTGATTTTGCCAGGTTATTTTTTGAAACATGAAACGCATTCAGGTTGGGAATTCCTTTTGTCCCATCGGTTTCACCACAGACAAGACAAGGAAAAACCACTATCACCTTGGCCTTGATGGACCACTTGCGATGCGCGGACCTGGTCGATCTGCCAAAGCCTCCTAGACAGCTGCTACCTTCACGGGCGACCTTAATCATGATGCCGCCAAACCTTTGGCAACAATGGCAGGACCAACCGGGCTTGGGCTGCAGGGAACACGCGCCTGGATTCTGGGTGGTGCTTGATTTCAGTGTGGAATGCCACAAAATGCCACACTCCATTCAAATGGTATGTGCTTCCTTCTAATCCAAGAAGAAACCAGGACCTGGGTGTTTCCATGAACAGATCAAGCATATTGTGGCATAGTTGACTCGGGAAACTAGAAGTTGAGTTCTGATGGTGTACCTTCCTGAAGGATTCCTGTTGAACAGCTTGACCTTACCTGGTTACCTCAGATCACCTTGTTATTTGTGGAGAATAGGTAGTCAAAGAGTCAAAATTGAAATTACAGTTATATATATTTATATTGCTATTATGAACATTGTGAAGCATGATGAAGTTTCGCCTACCACTTGTGTTGCTCACTGGAAAGAAATATGCACATATTATCGTTTCAGCATGCGAATGTTTGAACTCGTTGGGGATTGCTAAATCCCCGCACCGGAACACTGTCAGTCGAGTTTCCACCGGAACACTCGACCTCCCACAGGACGAGATCCAGAAGTTCCTCCCACCCAAGGCCTTCCACGTGCTGGCGGCCGCCGACGGCGGCCAGCTGCGCCGGATCCCGGTGCAACAGCTGCAGACCGCCGACGTGGCAGAACCGCATTTGGCCGAGCGGAGGGCCAGTTGGATAGACCAGTCCATTTGGAATGCAAACCATCCAAGAGACTTTTTGAGGTGCGCATGCGATTGAAGACCGAGAACGTGTTATTTTGAGGAATGTGGAGGGATGTCGATGGTGGGAAAGGTGACACCAAAGGGATGGTCCTAATCAGTTAGTTCATGACAAGCATTTTCATTCCTTGAAGGCATGCTGGCAGCCAAACCGGGACACGTCGTGGTAGATCAGGCCAGATCAGGGTAGGTTAGTAGTTTTTACTTACGTTTTAAAAATTGTGGTCCATTGTGGTTTGGGTGTTCCTTCGTATTTTTGGAGGCGGTTGTGTTGAACTGCTCGAGGTGTGGTGGTTCATCAAATTCCTTGTTAACATGTCATGTGTGACCAGTTGTGTTGTGTTGTTTGCTTGTCCATTGGTGAATTACTGAATTGTGTATGTATATATATATATATATTTCTCTATATATATATATTTATATATGTCTGTCAATTTGTTGGGTTATATAATGACCTGATGATGATGATTAGTAACAATGAGCCCTCCATTTGTCATGAACCTTTTCATCATGCTTCATCCATGGGGCAGTCCGGACCAATCCTGGTCAACTCAATTGCTACCTAGGTGGTCATCGTGCCATATCCCATTTTCCGTGCTTTGGGCTGCAGATTGGGCGAAAGCCTGGAGACAATGCTTTATCGTAGTTAATGGTCTTTTCACATCTCCTATCCCTTTAAGATCTGCACTGAAACACGTATTTGTTGTTGTTTTTGTGCCGGTTTGTGACGTTTCTGCATCGTTTTGCACCGTGTGCCGATTGCCGATCTTTCATTTTTGTGCTCACTTCCGCAGACTAGCATCCCCCCACCTTGCTTGCGCCTCGGATGAGGTGGTAGATCTTATGCAGCTCTGAAGTGGAGGCGCGGTGGCGACAAGGTTTGATGTGCGCAAGGGACGGTGACGACCATGATGAAGGCCTTTCACGATGGTCCTCACACGGTCCTCACCTTCACCATGCAAGTCGCCATGGACAGGCCTTGTAGCCCACCACCTCATTACGTTTTGTTCAACAGACGCGTAGCGCGCATGGGCACCGGTGGGAGGTTAAAGCACTTCCACTGGCACCGCATCATCGCTGACGAATTTCATGAGCTCATTGGCGCAGCCGTGGATGGGCAGCACCCCTTCAACGAGGCCAAACATCAGCTGACAGAGCCCTGACGAGGGCCAGCGGAAAAGGCAAATGTTGGCAAGAGGGACGCAAGAGCCGGGGAACTATTGATAAAATTATAGAGCATGTGGTCAACTCCATTCTGTTTGGGTGCTCCCTGACAAGTGAAGGAATGCATGCCATTGGCAGAATCAAAAGCATGTGATTGTCGGAATAGAAATCCAAGCTCCATCAGGATTGTGCACTGCCGCGGCCAGGCATTCCCTCACCAAAAGCTGTTGACCTGGCAGGTGTGGGTTCAACGGATTCAACTCTTTGGCACGTTCAGGGCTCATCCAATGCTGGCCACAGTTGGTCGCAGCGAAATCCGACGCTGGTCCCCAGGTGCGTTTGAGTCGATACTATTCCATACTCCACTATGCGGCATATGCCTATCCCTGGCCCTACTTAAGGATATTGTCAACAAGATCTGCAACCGTCACCAAAGCCAATCGCCAGTCCAATCACGTGGACACCAAACGAAACATGCCGGTGACCTCGGTACACCTTGGCCTCCAATCCTCCAACCATCGGACTGAGGAGTTGGAGGCTACCACTCGTTGGGGCCTCACCAGCACTCCACCCTTCAGAACCATTGCGGAAGTGGCAGTCACTGCCAGCTTCTTCCAGCAGAAGATCCAACGATGCGAGGAGCACACAAAAAATCAAGACCGAAGCGAGAAAGTGGAGATAGAGGTGGCGCAGATCACACATGTGGATGTACGTGTGTTTTTCAATTTCTTGGTGGGTTTTACCATGTTGCACCTTCGTGCTGAATACTCTAAATTGATTGAGGTGCAAACTTGAGGCACAAAGGACAGCTTGGTTCACAAGCCCAGTTGGGGTTTTTGGGTTGGGGATATTGTTTCTCCACGAGTTGAGGAATGAAATGACTCTCCCAGTGGACCACCCGAACTTACAAATCCCATCATCCCTATCACCGAAAGTCGGAGAGTTGTGAGTGTTCAAAAGAGCGAGCGGAAAAATCATCCACCTGACACCCGCTCTAGGAGGCCTGCTGGAGATTTATTGAGGAGATGGTTCGACAGAACAAGAACACCATGGAGCTTCCTGATGTGGTGCAGCACAAAGTAGAGGTCCTACAGTCCAGACATGAGAGAGCGTTGTATTTGCAGCAGGAAAGGGACAGTAACGCTCCCAGCATCTTGTGGGACTGTGCTTCTTTGCACTTCGATCAATCTACGTCCCCGAAGCGTCAACTCAAGTCAGCCGAACAGCTATGTTTGGAGATGCTCCGGAAAGATCGGGAGGAGATTCCGTGCGAAAGATGAGCCGTGGGGATCACACTTTTGGATCCTGAAGACCACATATTCAGGATGGTATTCCCTTCTGGTTGGCCTTTGTGGGAATAATTGCAGTGCCATTGTGCTTCCATCCCTGTTGACCCCGTCATAGTTCTGCACAACAGGCAGTATGATTTCCCACTTTGCTCTTAAAATACAACATGTACACTGACTCATCATATCATATGGAAGTGGGTGGCAGGACGTTTGGAAAATATTTTTTGGAGATGCTATAATATGGTGACCGATATGTTTCCTTTACTATCCTTTACCAACTCAATGAGTTGTCCACTGAACTTCTGAGAGACAAAAGAATCAAACAGAGACCAGCGACGAAAGCAGTCTATCTTGAGGAGACCCACCACCTGGACGAGAAGCTTTTTCAGCATTGCTTGGCCATCGAGGCCAAGTGCCGCCTCTACCGCGACTGGTCGGGCTGGCGTCAGCCACTGGGGAGGTCCGCCAACACCGGAGGTTGAGTCGAAGTTCTGAGGTCGGTGATTACGGGCAAACAAAAAGGACGCATAGTAACAGGTGCATCGCTAGTAGTAACAAGTGCATCGCTTCTAGTAACAAGTGCCTTACTAGTAGTAACAAGAAGCTTAGTATATAATAGTAGCACAATGTTTTCACCCCGATCTCGCTGAGGGGGGCAGTCCAGGCAAAGGCAGCCAACAGTCCCATGAAGCCGGGGTATCAGCTGAATAAACGAAGGCATGTGGTGGTCCTTCAGATGTTTTCCGGAAGTCCTTTGATCAGAGGAAGAGGAGGTTCTGCACTGTGCTTTTTCAGGTGTCCCTTTGACCCTCATGTGCAGTGTTTTTTTTGGTGGTGGGAAGGTGTAGATTTTTTGGTACCCACCAGCTGAGGCCAACTCGTGGAGTGTTTGGTGATGGCTGCGCATGACGCGCCACACCGAGAGGACCCGCAGGCACAGAGAAGGCTCTTTCGTTCCTGAGCTTAGTTCAGGGCTGACAATCTTTGGGTTCGGGCCAAGGGCTGTGGAGATCTCGAAGAAGCCGTGGTTCGATTGCATCCATGAAATGTTTTGTTGGCATCTCTCTAATCAATTCTAGTTGATTTGTCATTGTTTATTCCTACAATTTCCCACATAATTTCACTCTACAGCAAGCGCGATCGTTTACGATACTATTCCGCAATTCCATGACCAGCATACGCTTGTACTAAAGCTCGTTAGACACTCTGACTCACTAACATGGAAGTGGAAAATGGTCCCTTGGAACCCTTGGTTGTGTCGCCTTAGATGTTGGTGGATGCGAGACAACAAATCGACTCACAGGTGTAAACTGTGGCCGCAAACTCGGACCAAACAGGTTGAGACCTCGTAACAAGGACGCTACAGTACTAGGGACTCCTGGCATCGCTACAGGAGCATTCTTACTACTGGTAGCAAGAAGCTACTAGGGGCTCCTGGCCTTATTACTAGGAGCAAGGACGCTGCTAGGGGCTCCTGGCATCGCTACTAGGAGCAAGGACGCTAAAAGTAGCTCCTGGCCTTACTACTAATAACAAGGACGCTACTATAGGGGCCAGACAGTTCACCCGCTTTCAACTGGAAAATTGCTGGCTGCTAAGCTTAATACAGTGGGGTCCGCTAAAATCCTACAAAAGTAGAGGGAAGTTTTGCAAACAACTCAAAGTAATGAAAGGGCATTGTAAATATTGTAAAAAATGCATGCAATACATTGCAACATATTCCCTACGCTAGTTAGCCGGCTTGTTGTTCATGCTGTAACGGGTACTGGTAGATTCACACATCTTGCAATCCTCCATTGATCAGCTAGCTGTACAATGCTGTAATGCTTTTTTGGGGGACTTCGACTGCATCCCACCGATTCAAAACCCACCCACCACATCCACCTGCCTGAATCCACCTACCGGGCTCCAACTTTCATCAAGGACAGCTGGGCCCAGGCCATCACAGCCTCCACGATTTGAGCTTCTTGGAGCGTGTCAACGCCCGCGGCGACACCATGTCCGTCTCAGCTGGGAGTGATGCGCAGCGTGCGGCGCTGGCCACGTGGGTGAAGTGTAGCTTGGAGAGGAAGAGGGCCGACTTTACTCCACCCTAGTAGCTCCAACCTAACAGCGATGGCCTTTTGCACACCAAATGGGTGGATATGGGTGGATACAACATGTCGGGCGGCAAACCTTTGGTGCTGCGTCTCCGACTCAGGATTTGACTACTTAACGGATTGACTTGAGGCCATCCCATCCTTGCCTTTGAAAAACCCTTGTTTTGGGGTGCGTGGCCTGTCCATGGGGAGGACGCATTGAACTCCTCCAGTTCATGCTTCAACATGCTCCTGCCGTACTTCAACCATCCTGGCCAAATGCCCAAAACTCCCAGGCCGCTTTTTCCACTATATATATAAAGATGCCTTGGCGCTGGCTACACCGCTGAAGTTATTGTTTTTTTTTTTTTTTTTTTTCTAGCAATGTCCTTACAGATGTCCATGACATTAAATGAGTGGTCGGAGACATCTATCATAGCAGCAGCTCCAGGAACTCCAAATCGCGTTTGCTACACACAGGTAGGCAGTTCGGCAACAAAAACGATCAGCGTTCCATCAAAGCCGATGATGAAAGCACCTCATCCACGGAAAGTAAACTGAACATTGATTGTGTGATTTGGAAGACCGCACCGACCGCACCAGCTTTTTGCAGAGTTTCTGTTGGTGATGTAAATCGTGTCTTCAGGCATTGATGAGGCGGCAAAGGAGAAAAAGATAAGTTTGCCTCCCAAAGGCAGTGGAGACTTGCAGAAAGATATCGAGACCGAACCTGGGCGATGCAAAGGTTGGCAAAGTACTGCGTTTTTTTCTTCAAGGATCCCCACATGTTTGATCCATGTTTTTGGGGGGTAGATTTGTAGAGCGGCTTGTTGGCCCCATCCTACTAATTGAGATGCGGGGCCAGTGGAGGCCACATTAGGCGAAGCCGACCCAGTCACAATTCTATCAGATCATTTTGGGCCCCTCAAAGCATCGTCCGCCGCATGGCATTCGCCTCCTTCAACCCGAGGAATATTCAGAAGAACTGAAGTGTCTTAAATTGCTTGAGTCGCATTTGACACGGGCGCTTTTATTCGAGAGGTCCTTGGAAGATGTGGCCGAGTCCTTTGCGTGTCCAATTTGCTTTGACGATGTTCCGGTCAAGGAGTGCGGCATTGCCCCCTGTGCGCATAAGGCATGCATGAACTGTTGGAATGCCTGCCTGAACCAAGACTGGAGATGTCCAATGTGCCGGAGCGAGGTTTTAAAGTCTCGGGTGGTGTCGGTGGAGGTGCCCAAAGCCTTCTTGCAGAACATGCCGGACACCCGAAGTGTAGTTCAAAAGCTGGGACAACACCACAATCGAATAGCAGCCTTTTGGATGCAGTTTTCAATCAGTCGGGCATATTGTTTTAATACATTTAGGGTCGTGTCCGTCCTAGTCCTATTTTCAAAGAGAAACCATTTGCAACAAGGAGGGTTGGCATGTCCCCTATAAACGGCCCCCTTTGGAACTGCTGAGAAAGTACTTTATGAGGGGCAAGAGAGTACAAAAAATGATAAAAAATGTTTCTTCAAAAGGGGCCTCTTTACCCCCAAACACCTTCCTCCTTTCCGTCCTTTTGGTTTGCTGTGCGCTCCATTGTTTCAAGAAAAACCACCATCCAAGGCCTCAAAGTACAGTATCTACGGTTCGAAGCTCCAATGTGTAGTGGAGACGATCCTGGGAATTTGGGACTGCGAGCCGGATGCAAAGATCTTAGTCTTTTGCCAGTCCGAGGAGAGCATTTTTTGATCATAGTTATATAATTCACCTCTTGGTTTTGACCCAAGAAGTTGTTATGGCCTCTGTAGACCGTTCGCATGCAGACACCGCCAACAAGATGATGAATGTGAGGTGGGCCAGTCAGAACCACGTGGTTCCCAAGTCTATACTTGTGCAAGGTTGTGTCTTAAGAAACATGTAGTCCCAACCTCAAGGATGCCAAATGACTACTTCTTTGCAGGATAATTTCAATTGTGCTGTCATGCTGTTTTTGCTGCTATTCTTGTGAATTTGGGCACAGGGCTGAGATCTTTTTGACCAGCAGGTTTGTGCTCACTGTAGTGATGACAGGTTTTGTGGTCACTGTAGATGTTTGAACATATTCAAACCCTTTTTATGGACGATGAAGTTCAAGGCCGCCATCCCCTGCAGGAGCTGCGTTGGCGTGCCGACGACGCCTTCGTGTCCCTGGGCCTCGAGCACGTCACCCTGAAGGGCGACGCCCTGCAACGGGCCACTGCTATCCGCCGCTTCAGTGACAAGGCCCAGAGAGTCGGAGATTCCACCGCCTCCACCCTAGTAGCAATGTCCTCCAACCTAAAGGCGATGGCGTCCAGCCTAATAGTGATGGCCTCCAACCTAATAGCGATGGTTTCCAACCTAAGAGCTCTGGCCTCCAGCCTAATAGTGATGGCCTCCAACCCAACAGCGATGGTCTCCAACCTAATAGCTTTGGCCTCCAGCCTAATAGTGGCCTCCAACGTAGTAGCAATGTCCTCCAACCCAAAAGCGATGGCCTCCAGCTAATAGTCATGGCCTCCAACCTAGTAGCAATGTCCTATAACCTAAAGGCGATGGCCTCCAGCCTAATAGTGATGGCCTCCAAGCTAGTAGCAATGTCCTCTAACCTAAAAGCGATGGCCTCCAGCCTAATAGTGATGGCCTCCAACCT